AGGTTTGCGGGGCTGAGGGGAGGGTGGGGGGGGGGGGCGTTCAGCAGAAGACCAGGGTGGGGGCTACAGCTGCAGGCTCGTGGGCCGGCAGGCCCTCCAATCGGGAAGAAGGGCGGGCAGCTAAAGGGAAGCAGATGTCCTACTAGTGCAGGATCAGCCAGACCCGTGTTTCTTGACCTCTTTGGAACAGTTCAATAAAAACAAGCGGTTTCCATAGCAACCGCTGCCTTACTTGGTGCTTCAGAGGTTTGCAATAAAGGGGAAGAGCAGAGGACTGGAAGCAGCGCATGGCTATAGGGCGTGTGCCGCCCCTTTGTGTGCCAGGCCCAGGAGCCACGGAGGACGGGGGAGGAGGAAGAAGACCGTGCAGGCAAGCGGGCCTGCCCAGGAGGGAGCGATCCTGCCCTGGGGGGGGGGAGGACCCCTCGTGACGCTCTGCCAGTCGGCCCTTCCCTCGCCTCTCCCCCCCCTCCCCAGGTGCTGAGCTCGAGAGGGGGGTTGGCGGAGGGGCTAGGGTCTGCCAGTCTCCTTCTGCTCTCACCACCGCCCTCCTGCCACAGGCCGCTGAGGTCTGCCGTGCTGGAAATCTGCTGGAAGTGGGGAGAGAGCTGAGCGAGAGGGCAGTGTCAGGGGTACCCCGCGGTGGGAAAGCAGGAGCCCTTCTTCCGCCACATGCCCTAAAGCATTTTGGACAGCAGGAGGCCTGTCTGCACTAGCCCTGTTGCCGCCTCCTGTTCGGTTTGTCTAGTTTGCTCAGAGAACCCACACGGGGCACCGGGGTTAGGACGCTGAACTAGAAGAAGAAGAAGAGGTTGGATTCATACCCCATGGCCCTTCACTACCCAAGGGAGTCTCAGAGCGGCTGACAAACTCCTTTTCCCTTCCCCTCCCCACAACAGACACCCCCTGTGAGGGAGGCGGGGGCTGAGAGAGCTCTGACAGAAACTGCTCTTTTCCAAGAACAGCTCTTGTAAGAACCATGGCTTGCCCAAGGTCATCCAGCCAGGTGCAAGTGGAGGAGAAGTGGGGAATCAAACCCCACTTCTCCCAGATTAGACTCCGCGCACTTAACCACTACACCGAACTGCCATGGAAGCTTTCTGGGTGACCTTCGGCCAGTCACACGGACTCAACACAAGCTGCCTCACAGGGTCGTTGTGAAGCTAACACAAAGGAGAGAAGAAGAACGGAAACCACTCTGCCCCCCCCCCACCAGGATGAATGTTGGAGTAGAAATGAAGCAAATAAAACAAATTTTTCACGGTGATCTGAAAAGTTAATTCTACTCTCTTAACTGTTTTCTCCCTTTTGGAAGTGGCATACTGGGTTCTAGATGCATTGCAGTGATCAGCTCAGGTTTATTAAGTGATTTCGAAGCTAGCAGGGCTGGAGCCCTGCTTATATGCATGCAAAACACCACACCCAACACACACCCACTCCCAGTGATAGGCTATTTACCTTACACCGCTTATCTGTTGGCTAGTTCCTGGATCCAGGCGAGCTATTGTTCTGGAGAAGCAAGCTCAGCCCATTCTAGGAGCAGCAAGAGGAAAGGCTTGGGCTCAATACGTAACACATCCCTTGTGCGACTTAATGAGCTCTTTCTGCACTGCTGAAAATACAGAGCAGACTTCCTAGAAACCGCCAGTCTGTGACTTCTTCTTAGTTTGACAGACAGCCCTGGTTTTTGATGCTCTGAGCCCCGTTGCTGTGCTGCTGCTGCTCCTCCCCCCCCCCCTGTAGGCAGGGTTTGGGCTGCTTGAAGGGTCTGAGTTGGATGCGTGGCATTCGAGAGGTCACGACTGGGCCACTGGCAGGCTTAGCAAGGCTGTGGGAAGCAAAGGTCCCCTGTTCTGGTGCTGCTGCCGCTGCCGCCGCACATCCCCATGGGAGGTCCTTGACAGGTTTGCACTCCCCTCCTTCCTTTTCCAAACTGGAGTGGGCCAGCTGTGCGGCTCGGCTGGAGTAGCGGAGCCTCTGAGGAGGTTTTCTCTGGGAGCGTGCAGAATTCAGAAGCCGCGGGGGGGGGGGCTTGCTGCTGGCACCTGGTGGGCCGAAGTCATGCTGGGCTTGGTTCTGTGTGGCGTTCCTTTGAGGGCAAAATGTTTTCACACCAAAGCTCAGTAGCGGAGACAGAAGTGAGCCTCCTCGTGGCAAGGGGGATGCTTCCGAGACAGAAACGTGCCGAGTCCCAGCCTTTTGGAGCCTGGCTGGCTGAACTCCTGCCTGTCGTCCATCCCCTGTCCAGCCGTCTGGGTTTGGAGGAGGACTCTTTCCAGGGCCGTGGACGTTGGCTCCAGAGAGAGTGCAGGGAGTGGGGTTTCTCTTGAGCCCTTGGGCAGCTGACGCCTTGCTGGCTGGAAAGGAATTCTCTCGTGCGTGTGTGCGGCTGGGATGTCGCCGGCGCTGACTGTCCTTGGGGCTGGAGGGAACAGTGTCTCCTGTGCCTTTTCTCCTGGGACAGAGGCAGGCCGCGGTGCTGGTTCTTTCCCGAGGGATCCAGTGGTGTCAGATAAGGACTCTGGCAGCACTCTGGATGATGAAGCCGGAGGTCTTCACGGGGAGGTGAAGCTCAGTCAGCTTTGTGGCCGGAAGACCTCCTTGGGGTTTGGAGGGGAAGAGGGAGAGGGCGATTTCTGGCCCAGGGAATGGTCTCTCGAGGCCATGCCGTCTGTGGAGCGGGTGGCCAGGCAGGCGTTGGGCCGGAGGGGCGGGACCCTGTTTCCCAGCCCTCCCAAGCCCCGCCCACGGGAGGACCCCCGTGCCCCTCAGCTCCGGTCTGGGCAGGAGCAGGTGAAGCTGCCAAGAGGCTGGAGCAGGATGACACACACACACACACACACACACCTGCCCATCTGGCCAGCGGGAGTGCCGAGGAGGGCGCCCCCCCGGGGGAGCCAGCTGGGACAGTTAGGGGGGCTTCTTGGTCTCCAGGGGGGAAGGGGGCTTTTGGTGGTGGGGGGGGGAGGGTGTCGTTCTCTAGCTG